CTTCTGGATCTTCTGAAGCGCTAAGCTGCTCCTGAGCACCGCAAACTCGGGCTCTCGGCACTCCCGCGGGCGGTGACTGAGCGCGTCCAAGGCGACCTCGCATTCCGCGCGCAAATTGGACAGCAACGCTTAGCCTTGCCTTTTCTTGGGCACTGGCTCTAATGTTCATAGCGTTGCAGACGAGGGACCTTAAACCACCTTCTTCTGGTGGGCGGTAAGCCCACTGGCACGCAGGTAGCTATAAAAAAATGCACCACGCGCTCTGGCATGCATCCCAGGGCAAAACCCACATATCCCATTCGAGCCCCCTTCAGCACCGCCCCGCGCAATTAGTTGCGGACGAGGCAGGGGGGGAACTCAGCGAGCTTCAAAACATGGCCCCGACCAATAACCAGCACGGCAAAACTAGACATGGCCCACGAAACGCGCTCACTGCTTTCGAGCGGGGCCGCTACAGGCCCCGAAACGCATCGCCACAGCGGGGAGTCGCCCTGGAGGCCCGCTTCCCAGGCGGCCCGCAACTCTGCGAGATCCAGGGCGCACTGGCAAGAGCGATGATGGGCCCACCTACAGAGACGGAGAAGACAGCCGCATACCAACGCGGGTCGCCGCGCGCCAACAACCAACCCGTGAGGGGGCGGCCCTTGGCCGACGACTGCAAAACAAGCGCCGCCTGATGGCGACACTTCAACACCTCGAAATCACTGACCCGATGGACCCTGGACCCAGCCGCCAGGGCCCCAGGGGCAAGCGCGCCCCGAGAAACTCCCACCGATGGTAGGTCTCAGCTTCCGAAGACGGCCCGCGAAGGCCGCGGACGTTTTGCCCCTCTTCCTCCGCCGAGAACTACGGCGCTTCGCGCGACGGGGCCTGCCGGCACAACCGTCGACCCCGAGGTTGAGCACCGAGCTGACGAGCGGGCCTGCCAGTCCCCCAGGCCTGGCGGTCAACTCGCCCAACGCTCCGGGTGAGCACATCGAGGATCGCTTCCCCTCGTCCGCGCTGACCTCAGCTCCAGGCCCATCCTCTAAGTCCAAGTAGAGCATCCGAGCAGCTAGCGGCCGGCGGCAAACAATGCATGATCCTTCGCGCCCGAGGCGCTAAGCCAGGAATCGTCGGTGCAAGAATTAAAATGAAGCTGAGGTGGCTATTTCATGTTCTGGAGGTCCTGGATGGAGCGAACGCCGATGAAAGACGCGGCAAAGTCACGCCCCGCGACAACGCCCCCCCTGGCCCAGCAGGGCCCCTCCACGGACCCACTCAACGCAAAAAGTCTGACCTGGTGGCGCGCGCGAATCGCTCGCCTCGATCCACGACAGGCGAGCAGACATAAAATTATACAGACCCAGCTCGCGGGAGCGGTGGCCCCCTGGAACCCCAAGGCCAACTCTCGCTCGCGACACTCCAGGTTCCGACCAGTAGTTCTTCGACACCGCCACGGGCGCAGGGCGGGGCTGGGGGGGGGAAGCGGACCCCGCCGTGGCCCGGGAGACCCCCTGGAGATTGCGCCCCCCCAATGGACGCACAGCGCGCGACTCGCCGACGCTGAGAAAACCCGACCCCACGACGGCGGCGCCCTCCCCAACGGGCGGGGCCACGCCAGCGGGAGCAACAGGGTCACGTACCGAACGCGCCCGACTGGCGATGTCTGCATCACGCTCACGCAGGTCACTCCGCCACGTCGATGTCGCCGCCGCCGCCGCTGCTGGCAACGCACCTTCAGGCGCCCCCGCGGCTGGAGGGGCTGCAGCACCACTCGAAGCTGTGGAAGTAACAGGGGAAGGCGCCGAATCGTCCCCCGCCTTATCTTGTCCATATTGACCTTGAACTACGTCTTTCTCTAGCAATCCTGTCGATGATATTTTTCTGCTGCAACTTCAGCCGTTTGAACTTCTCCATGGCATCTCCAAACATCTGCTTGACAGCCTGCTTGAGATCGCCCTGCATAGGGTTCCGACGCTCCTCCAAGTCCCTCTTGTCGGTGTCCGTAAAATCGAACGACGACGCGTCAGTGGACGCGAACGCGACGTTGATCTCCTCACCCGCCAAAATCGCCCCCAGAGGCAATGAAGGTTACACATGCCGCGGCTTGGTAGCCACCTGCGCACGAGGTTGCACCACCAACTGCTTGTGAATTCGCTCCACCTGCTACAGCTCGCCCAAAAGAATCTCGACACGGATTCGCTCTCCTCGAACTGAATGGAGGCGGCCTCGCACGCGACCACGGCCCTGGGCGATTTCGCCCCCGGCGCACGCACGTCGTGGAAGGCTCGGTTGACCTGATCCTGCAGCGATGGCGCCTGGCGTTGGCCGGCGATCTCTGTGATTCCCTCTTGACCCGCAGCTCCTAACATTTTGCCACGCCCCCGGCGTCTCCGACTGCGGCGAGCTGCGAGCGCAGATCCTCGAGCCTTGACCTCGCCCCCGGGGCCGACAGGAGCCGCGGGCCGCTGCCCTCTGGCGCGGGCGCCACAAGCACCCCCAGCCATGATGAGAGGAC